AAATTGGCTCACATAATTGTAGAGGCTGGCAAGCCAAAAATCTTCAGGGTAGGCTGGCAGGCTGGAGACCCAGAGATGGTATTGTAGCCAGAGTCCAATGGCAGTTTGGTGGTGGAATTCCCTCTTCCTTTGGGAAGTCAGTCTTATTTTCTCTTAAAACCTTCTACTGGCTGGATGGGGCAGGGCTCACTCACATTATGGAGGGTAATCTACTTTACTCAAAATCTACTAATTTAAATGTTAATTTTACCTAAAAAAACCCTTCACAGCAGTGTCTAGACTCATGTTTGTTTGACCAAGTACCTGGGTAGCTTGGCCTAGCCAAACTGACCCATAAAATCAAGCATCATAACCCCATCACATGAATAAAAACCTATGGTTGTCAGCCCAAAACGTGTCCTAAATTAGCTCGGACATAGCGAACACCATAGAATCACTCAGGAGCTTATTAAACTTTGTATGACAAAGTAAAGCTTTCTTTCTTTTTTAACCTAGTAAAAGATGTGCCAAGAGGCCAATGCTTTACCAAAATATGTCAGAAATTTAAGTCATGCTCCTAAGGTGCAATATCAGAGTCTGTACTTCCCCTACAAATTCAGAATTACAGGGATTCAATCTTTCAATAAATACAGCACCCACTCTCCCCGTAGTCCAGACAGGATAAACATTGGATCTGGAGGGTCTCGGGTTACACGCACTGTGGGGATCCCAGAGTGGCGCGGGGAGAGGAATGCCAATGTTTCACCTGGTAGCACGCACTGTGAGGCCACCATACGTTGTCCTCCTTCCCAGATGTTCCCTCCCGCATCTCAGTCTGCAATCACCACTATGGCTGCACAGGGAAGGCCAGTGTGCAGTTAACTGCCTGTGGACACACAGGGCTCTCAAAAGGAAAAGACATCTCCACAAACCTTTTGACACCACTGAGGAACACAGGCCGTCCACCGCTCTACAGATCTAAAGATAGGGTCGAGGTAACTGGCTGAGCGAAGAGGGCTGCTGGGCAGCTCAAGGTCAGGGGCCCAGAGGCCCAGGCTGTATTCCTGGGGAGACTGTAAGGAGACTCCTGAACTTGGGACTGACAAGGTGACCTTGGCGAGCCTCATAGTCAATCAGAGTTTTAGACTTTCCTGGCTCAAAAATGGAGCTAATCTCTTGCCCCTTGCAGAGTTCTTATAAGGGTTAAATGAAATAACCCATCTGAAAAGGCAAATTCAATTCCATGTCCATAGCAGGCACTCTTGATATATTTATTTATTTAATCTATTGATACTAATGAATTAGTGAACAGAAAATAGATGCTTAGCAAAAGGGGGCAATTTCAGTTTTAAAGAATTCCCATCTGCCTCATGATTCAGGTCACCCAGACAATGGTTATTGAGTGCCATGGTCACAGTCTCTATGGAGATCAGTTATAGACAGATCTATAATGGAAATTACCCATTAACTGTCTCTTCAAAATACAAGTCTCCTTTAACAGCTCCATGATCCCTAGGAAACTGGGTGGTTTCAACTCCAGGGTAAAGCAGTGGGGCTGTTAGGTCAGCAAATCTAGGTGATGGGGGAGGGGATTTTGGAATGAGGAGGAAAGGACCTAGATTTTTTTATCTTTGTTTTACTTATATTTGATTATAAAAACACACATGCAAAATGTGAAAAACTTGAAAACACAATGGAAAATAGAGAGGTAAGAAAAAATTATCCATAAGTCTACCTTCCAAAGAACAATTACTCAAAAACAGCATTGATTGTTAATTTCCTTTCAGTCTTTCTGTATTTTCTTCATTACATAGTATTTATATTCCACATGCATTTTTCATTGTAGTTTAAATCTAACATTTTAATATAAAAATCCACCCATGTTAATCTAATACACACATTATTTTAAAGGTCTTGTCATATTCTGTCAGGTTAAATGTGTACTACTTTATATTTACTGTTCTGTTGTTGTGCATTTAGATTATTTCTGCTTTTTATATTACAAATAATTCAGCACACCTCATTTTTGTACAGCATTTAAAATATAATCTGTTTCCTCTTTATAGTTTTTCAAAAATAACATTACTGAGTAAAAGGTTTTAGACATGCTAAAGGCTTTTGATACATGTTGATAAAAGGTTATGCCCACTTAGACTTCACCAGCAATGAATGGGAATGCCTTTTTCAATCTACCCTTGTAAACAGAGTAGAATGATAAAAAATCACTAATGAGGAAAAAATAGCACTGGAAGCGTAAACTCTATTCCCTTGTTTTCCAGTGAAGTTCATTATTTCCCTACATATTTGTTAACCTGTAAATGTCCTTAACCCATAGTGATCATTTTTAATGTTATATCTTGTTAGGGGTATTGTACACCCATTGGGTATCTCTAAAATATACTGTGGTGTTTATACCAAAAGGGCAGTATGCTAATTTATGAATCATGTAGGCTGTGTGAATACCAAGAGATAAGTGATCAGATATCCAAGATTTCAACTTCAAGTGAAAAGAGATGAAGCCTTAAGTTGTCTCAGAAAAACCAAAGCAAATGCCACAGGCATAATGAGGAGACGTGTTTTGATTTCAGTTTTAAGCATAATTTTTTTCTCTCATTCCCTGAAAACAATCTCTCAAATTGATCTGTGTTAAGGTAATAGCACAAAATGACAAAAAATCAGAGAGAACAATTTTTATAATAAAGCAAAGAACTAGGAAGCCAATTTGTTCCCAAGAAAAGGAGAAACATTGTTCTTGAATCAATTCAACCCCAAATGATAATGGTTGATATGAATGGGCTGCGCTTACTCCGAAGGTTTTGTTTCCTGCAGAAGACCCTAAAATGCAGCTTCTATATGTTCTTATTTATAATGTTTGAATGAATATGTATAGTAAGTTGTCAATAACATAAATTTATGTATAATAAATAATGACAAAGGGAATGATTCAGTAGTACCCATTGGCTATATAAGTTCCAAAGTAAGGAATCCATCATTCATTCCATAATGAATTCATCAAGTAATAATAAATTCAATAAATATGCCTTAATTGCTTCACATGATGAATTTTGCTGTGTCTTGAATGCTGGGAGCTTATACAGCTGGTTACTACATACGTAAAATAGACTCTTCTGAGGTATCCTGCAACATGTAAAAGACTGTCAGGCCACTATACATACCTGTGGTACTCTGGCCTGGACATACTTCTCTATCAACTGCAAGAGAAGTTTCAAGAAGCAAAAACCTGCCATATGTACCATGAATTTCTTTCCTGGACAGGTTCCTATGATGAACCTGAATAATATGGAAAAGCCAGAAATGAGCTCAACTTTTCCAACCCTTTTGATTTCAGACAATACTAATCCCAAGACCCCTAAGGTGCCCCCACCAGACATCATTCAAGGTTAAAACAGTAAAACTCCCAACTTCTGCTCAGCAATCCCCTTCTGCCAATTCCGATTTAAACAATTTGGGGTGTGCTCTATCTATGCTAGACAAGATTGCATGTAAAAGACCTCAACAATCCTCCCTTTTCTTATAAAAATTGGAACAAATAGGCATTTTTTTTTATATCTTTCCAGGTACCCTCCTATCAGTGGTACGTCATTTTCTGATGTCCTACTTCTGAGACTCGGGGAACGGTCATGGAATGCGTACACGGAAATGATGCAAGAGTAAGTTACGTGGGGTTGCCTACGCCTTCTGCCTCCTGATTAAGTGCCTAGAAACGTCAAATGAAAATTTAAAATGTCGTCTTAGGAGCCATTTGCTGCCTTTTTTACAACTTCTTGTTCAATTTGTGGCTATTCCTGGAGCCAATTTAGTATAAATACAATAGCCCAGGATTGGAATCAGAAGATTGCCTTTTGGGGCATTGTTCTCCCATTTATAAGTGATGTGATCCTGAAGCAGTGTTACTAGCCACTTAACCATTACTGCTTTTTGATGACAGCAATGTGTCATTTAATTGTAATGGATACTAAACTCACACACACAACTCAGGCTAGGTGTGCGGTTGAGAGGCTGAGACTGTACGCTTCACTGCTATTAACTGTTTACCAAATTTGGACATTTATCTGATCCATGGAGAGGAGAAGCACAGAAAAAAATGGAAAATAAAATACCTAGGATGGTATAGATACTATTGTTTTCTTCTCTGTAGGGATGAATATATTGAAGGACAGTGAAGGAGAGCATATTTTCATAACTGCTACCTCAATGATTTTCAATAGCTATTTTCTATGATTTCACAGCCCCTTGAGGATCAAACCCAAATTCTTCACATAAACTGACCACTGCCAACAGTCGTCTGTTCCAGGCCTCCCACACACCTTGGGGAACCTGTCTTTTTAAGCCATGTCACCCTTGTCCAAGAATGCTCTGTGATTCCTTCTGAGCTCCTCCCGGGGTCCCCTCCTATAAAACCTCTGTAAGATACCCCAACACTCTCTGGATCCTTTTCGCTTTAAAATTCCTCAAGCCTCATTTGAACATTGCATTTTTCAGCTACCGAACAGTGTCCCAGTCTATTACTCAGCCCACAGAAGCTTGTGTGCTTTTTACATGTCAGGCTTTGTACATGCTGCACAGGGAATTGAAGAAAACAGGGACCGTTGCTGCCCTTGAAGCATCCACCATGGGGTGGGCAGCCTAGTGGTGCCAAGGCAGGTGTTTGAGCCAACTGCTGTTTACGACTCACCCAACTAGCTGGGCGCAGCGTCATGACATTCATGCATCCAAACCCCCCCCCTCGCCCCCCTGTCTCACTCTCCATCATGGTTCCTGCCTCCAACGTAATTCCTAAGACTCCCACACATACTTGTGGAGTGAATGTATGGAAAGATGAGGCCAGGTGAGAAATGTCACCCCTTCCCTGCTCACGCAGTACCCTCCACAGCACTTCACCTGGCTGATCTCTCTACTGCACTCAGTACTGCAGGCTGATCAACCGCTGCTGGTCTTACCTGGTTGAAGGAAGATGGGTGGCCCCAGCCGAGACCCCAGGGGCACACTCGGCCACTCACCTGGCTTGCTGGCAGACGCAGCAGATCCACACCTTCTCGTGCTTCTGGTAGGAGCAGCAGCTCTTGCAGACGTTGAATGCGCAGTCCCCGCAGCGGCGCTTGGTGTTGACAAGGAAGGTGAAGGGCGAGCAGCAGCGCATGCAGCAGTGGTCCACAAACTTCTGGTGCTTCGAGAGGATGCTGCACTTGCTGCCCTCCTCATCCAGCTTCTGCTTCATCTCGCTGGGACAGGGAAGGAGAAGGAAAGAGCGGACCAGGTCAGGGAGCTCTCCCCCGAGAGCCTTCCCACCCCAACCCTCCTTCCCAGCTCGAGCCACATGTGGGATCTTTCTGAACAACAATAACCCTCACAGAGATCAACTGCTTGACAGGAGCCCCAAGGTGGATTAATTTTGCGTGCTTCCGTATGTCACATTTACTAGGAGAAAGCAGGAGAACCTTACTACTTCTACTTCAGACACTAGACTGACGTACATTTTATGATTATCAAACTAAGCACATCCTCGAAAAAATAAAACCTTTCACTTAATTAACTAATGCCTTTTCAAAGGAGCAGGAGATCGTGCTATTATGTTATTGTGTTAAAACATTAATCCTCACAACAGCCCTGCTGGGAATATGATCGATGCAGTGCTGGCCCCATTTAATGTCCCTGGGAACGGAAGCACCCAGGGATTTTAAAAGCTTTCAAATCAATGTGAATCAATACAGAGTCGCTGGGGGATGGGCAAATTCTAAACAGTGGTGATTCAGAGTTGGATAAAAGACAACTCCCCTTTTCTTGTCCACTGGCCAGAGGAAAATTCTCCAAATCCAACCTGAATGGTAAACAATGGCTGCGTAGATAGAAGTCATCCTCGCCTGACACAGTAGGCAGTTAACCAGACATGGTTAAGCGAAGGCAAAATGTTAGAACTACCTGTGTTCTGCGACTCTGAGTTATTTACGTGCCCATCCTCTCCTCTCTCCCCCTCTGTCTCTCCCCACGCCACTTCCTCCTATTTGAAAATGGGATGATACTATACACACCGTCCTACTTTTTAAGCCTACAAAGCTGTCTTCTTTGTTTAGATTTTCAAGTGTGTAGGCATCAAGTGGTTCACAGATTTCTCTTATGATTTAAGACCTCTGCTACATTTGTAATTATGTTCCCCCCCCCAACTTTTTTCCCCTAAATATCACTCTTTGAGCCTTAGCTTTTTACCCCAAACTTCATGCAGGTATCTCACTTTCAGCTGCTTCTCCTGCCAAGGCCCCAGGTGGTATCTCCTGTCCCCAGGCCGGAGTGAACACTGTAGCCACCTGCTAGCAGAACCCACAGGCCCTGGTTTCCCCCGTCTGATGATGCTGATCACTCGGTTTTAAATTTCCTCTTCACTTCTACCGCCTGGGAATTTCCCGTTCCTACTTTTCCCCCTGACTTTAAAAAAAAAATTGGCATATAACTCACATACCATAACATTTACTCTTTAAATTGTTCACTTCAGTATTTTTTAGTATATTCACAAAGTTCTGTCAAGCACCACCACTGTCTGATTCCAGAACGTTTTCATCAACCCAAAAAGAAACCCCTACTTACGCAGTCACTCCCGCTGCCGGCCCTGCTCAGTCCCTGCCGACCACCAGGCTACTTTCTGGTTCTAGGACTTCACTTATTCTGGACACATAATATAAATGGAACCACACCATGTGTGGCCTGTTGTGCTTGGCTCCTTTCTTTGCATGTATTCAAGGCTCATCCATGTTGTAGCATGTATGAGCACTGCAGTCCTTTTTGCTGCCAAATAATATTCCATTTATGGATGTACCATATTTCATTTGTCTGTTCCTCAACTGATAAGACGCTTGGCTTGTTTCTGCTTTTTGGCTATTATGAATAATGCTGCTATGAACATTCATGTATAACTTTTTGTGCGGATGTATCTTTTCAATTCCAGAAGTGAAATCGCTGGGTCATATGGTAATGCTGTTTCATGTTTTTAAGAAACTGCCAGACTGCCAAATGGCTGTACCATTTGGAATACGAGGGTTCTGATTTCTCCACACCCTCACCAGCACTTGTGATTGCCTGCCTTTTCTATTACAGCCGTACCATGGGGTGTGAGGTGGTATCTCACTGTGGTTTTCATTTGCACCTCCCTAATGACAAACAATGCTGAGCATCTTTTCATGTACTTATGGAACATTTGTACATCTTTGAAGAAAAACCTACTCAAATCTTTTGTCTATTCTAAAGTAGATTATTTGTCTTTTTATTGCAGTGTTGGAAGAGTTCATATGTCTTCGGGTACAAGTCCCTTCTCAGTTTCATGATTTGCAAATATTTTCTCTTTCTTATATCAAACTTTTATATTTTATTAGTACTTTATGTATGTTTAGTACAAAGAAGGGTCGCACTAGCTCATCCCACCCTTCTATTGGAAATGGAAATCTGCGATTGGTTTTTATAACCTTGTTTCTCACTTAATGACAACATGTCATAAACACCTTTCCATGACAATTCAAAAAGTGTCTGCAGCTTTAGCTTTCGGATGCCCTGAGCTGGCTCTCATCGTCACCAGCTGAGCAGGGCTTGCAGCTCTACATGGAGCTCTCCAATACTGATTTGTGGCTTGAGCGTTAGGTAACAAAGGAACCCCGAATCTCATATTTAAAGGGGAGACTACATCAAGCCAGCTACTCCCCCTATGAGGGAAAACATTATATGCGTAGGTTTTGCTGAACAAAATGTTTACAGGGAAACAGGAGAGGAGTTTTGTCTTAAGGCATGAAGATGCCGTTTTCCAGTCCTTCATAGTTAGAGCAGAAGAGCTGTCATCAACAGCTCTGACACCTCTAAACAATATAAGAACAGCCTCCGCAATTGACCAGCCTCTAATGATATTTCAGAGACACTAAATTACATGGAACCTCAGGAAGAAACATCTTTGGGGATCAAAAAGGCTTTGTGAACTCAATCTACAGAATCACTTGAGCTTTATGAGTGTTGCTTCCTAATTCACAGGACTGCAAACACCAGCTTTGATCAATTTCTGAAAAACTGCTCCTCCCTCGAGCTTCCTGGTCTCACTGAAGAAGCCCTCCATTCACCTAACTGCTAAAGCCAGACACAGAACATTTTCTTGGTCTTGTCTCTCCTTACATATGCTTGTCAATCCAGGTTCTACATATTATCTCTTCTAAATACAAAATATCTGGCATTCATTGACTGCTCTCCGTCTTTGCTTTACCTGCCCTCGCCCCCACATCTGACCTGACCTCATCTCTCCCGAGACCATGGCAACAGCCTCTTTCTAACCTGACGAGGCTTCTTCCTCTTCCCCAACCTCTTCTCTAAATGACAGCAAGCAAGCAAGCAAGACCTTTTGAGTACAAAAATCTGGGTCACCCACTTCCTTCATGTGCTTCCACAGATTCCCATTTTTTTCCAAGATGTAACAGGAGCCCACATGGCCTGTTTGCCTTCAAAGTCACCCCCTTCTCTTAGGATGCTCTGACCACATGGCCCACTCAGTTTCTTGCTATTCTTTGGATACGTCATGCTCTTCCTCCTTTGAGGTTTGCCTATATGCTCTCTCTCCTTGAAAGCTCATCCTAGATCCATTCACCCTCCTCCATTTCTCCACAAAAGGCCTTCCCGTGTCCTTCAGTGTCAATTAAGCGCCCCCAGTGATTCCCATAGCACCTTGGTTTTCTCCTTTGTGGGCTTTTCCCGATTTTGAATGACATGCGTGTGTGTGCATTATATTTTAGTATATTTTGTTTAATGTCTGTCTCACCTCCATAGACTCGGTTACAAAGGAGATTTGCAAAGTACTTCCTATTATATATTATGCTGTGTTGCGAAATATAGACAAGATACTCAAAGATGCGCATAATGTGTGTCCAGCACAACAGGCGCACTAAAAGGCGGGCTCTTCACAGCAAGGAGCAGCACTGCCGATGTTCCCGCTACTAGATATTTCATTTTGATGCCAATGACATCAAATCACATTGTTTCAGATCACCCACCTATGAATTCTATTTCCCATGTTTTAATACTCTCATCTGTACCATTTTGAAAACCATGCTTGTTGTGGCTTATTAATTTTGTCCTTCTATTTTACGTTGCAGCAATTAATGGAGAGAGAGTTTAATGGCCAATAAAGCCAGATAATGAACTTAATTATGGAAATCACACCTGATGGTAAAACTAGGCCTGAGCGCAGACACGTGTTATTTCATGCATTGAACAAATGTTGACTTAGCGCTGACTTTGTTGCCGCACTGTGTCAGGTGCCGTGGGTCACCGACGGGGATCAATAAAACAGGGGCCCGGCACGTAAAGGAGCAGATGACCACACACACACGTAACACGTGGCGATTCGGAAAAAGCAGGATATGAATGCCCTGGAGTGGCCTCGTGCAGTGGACCAGATTCAGGGGCCCCCCGTGGAACAGTGACCCCCCCAGCATGGTCTCACTATCATCCTGCCCCATCATCATGGTGGGGAGTGGAAACCCTTCTTGGGCATCACAGATTTCTCTCAGGCAAAGCTTCTGCTTGGTGGCTCTAAGTTCTAGCAAATGCACTCTCTCTAATATTTCTCTGGTCCCTCTGACTCACTCAGGTAAATGTAAAATCATCATCATCATCATCATCCTTTAAATGTTGTTTGGAAGAGAAGACATCACATTGTCTTTTTAGAGCAGAAAGTTTATGAACTCAAAGGCAGACATGCGTACACTGAAACTCACTGGATTTAAACATATTGGTAGACACTGAGGGGTTCAAGAGCAGGGCTCCAGGAGGGTGATAAAGTCTCTAAAATTGTCTGGATGTTTCTACGCAGTAGATGGGAAGGATGACAGATGGGCATAGCAGGAAGTTCATGAGCTTCGCAGTCAGACTTGGGCTGACACAACCATGAAGCACTTACCTGGCCCTGAGAAAATTATTCATATATAAAACTCTCAAAGTCTTAGTTAGTTTTGGGGTCAGGAAAACAGCATGAAGTATACCATGCAGCCGGAGGTCAGGACGTGAGCTTTTCAGAAACAAAAGCAAGAACACAGTGACCCCAATACCAAGTACATGTGGATCTGACCTGGCTGGGGAGGCATCTTCCTTCACAGCCAGAATTCCAAAGGACCTGAGAAGAAAGAGCTATAGAACCTTTTATATGTTCTATAGGGGTGATTTTCAACCTTTTTCATCTCGTGGTCCACATAATCTAACTACT